TTTCATATTACGTTAGTTTTCTCTCTCCTTTATTTACAATTATCACCCTATGTCTATTTGAACTTTTATTTAATTGACCTTTTATTCATCTTCATATAAAATGCCTCGACAAGTAAATATGTGTGACCAGATTGTTCAAAATGTATAGCGCAAATACATCACATTTTTCAGATCACTGTGCTTTCGGAATATAAATCTCTTTAGTTTTTATTTGAAATAGACAGGTTACTCTATTCACTGGGTCGATCGACATTGTTCACCTGTAAACTGGTTGATTAGGATGCACTCTACTCTCCTGGGCGCAACCTTATCAACACTTACAACTGTGTGAGTTCCACATTAACTATTATCAATTATACTGTTCTCACTTACACGCTATTGACTTACCTTGGCCCCTTAGTGTTATCTATTGCTCAACTTTTAACCGCGATACTCTTTATATATCCAGCTTAGCTAGTTAAGTACATCTTCCCCACTACATTCAAAATGCTTATATCTTGTTTGAAAATTCTCACTATTTCTCCATAACTGTTAACTGTATAGCATTGATGCCTAACCAATAGTTCATAAGTTGTAATAGCCAGACGAGTTTGTGAAAGGAACTTGCATAAATAGTGTTTCTCAACAGGATGTGAGACATAGAACACCAAGTAGAACTCAATAGCTTCTTTTAAACATTGAACATGAGCCTAACAACACAAAAGGAGGGAGGGTGGAGTTACTGACCAGCAAACATTGATGGTGTGGGCGATAACTTCAAACAACCCATGTTTGTGGGGCAGAACATTTTGTTTGCTTTCGGCTCTTTAGATTGATGAGACGACTAATCAGTAACACTGAGGTTGCTCTTATACGCTTGCTACTTCTGTGGTTCATGTTTCCAAAACTATGCTGAGGTCGCTATTCTGTCGAGACACCTGCAACATTCTTACTCAGGCGCTTACAGTATGACTTAGAGGTTGGCATTCAATAATAATAATAATAAAAAAACAGTTAGACAGTGTGAGATTTTGTTCATCAAAGTTTTATTTTTACAAACTCTACTCTTTCAACTAGAATTTCGATTTCAACGTACATAAATCCAGCTTCTTACTTCGACTTCTCTTCTATCCACCTGACAATACACAACTCTTCCTTCTTTTTGCTGCACTCCTTTATCTGTGCGTTAAATTCTTATATTCCCATAACTTACTTTAATTTAAGTGGTCAGTATGAATTTTATCTTGACTTACTACTGTATTGACTACTTCAACATGACAGGTTAAGTAGTGCTTTGGTTATATATATACACTTGCCACACTGCTGCCTTTTTCTCTCTCTTCTCCTTTTCAGAACCCCATTCACGGTGGGAAATCCTTGGCTACTCTAGGGAACATGCACCCTAGGTACATGACTGTCTGGATCACAGCTCGTATCAAGCGCGTTCCATATGACCTTTCCCAACAAATTCACTATTGATCTCGGCCAATCGCCAAAAGAACCTATTGTGCACCTTCCTTCCTTATTTGTACTCTACTATTGAAAATGTGGCTGTATAATACTGTTTCTGTCAGTGACATGGTGTAAATATGCAATCAGAAAATGACTCTTATACTTAATTTGACTGCAATAACTTTACAGTAATTTTGAAAGCATTTGTGACAATTTGATCTAGCCTGTAAACTGGCGTGACACTTGTAACGTAGTTATTTGAGAATAAATATATTATTATTGTTATTATTATTATTATTATTATAGAAAGTATAATAAAATACAAATGTTATCGACGGAAAATGGAATCGAACATATTAAAAAATGTAGAACTGAAAGAATCAATGAGTACATACTACGAATGTGTACATGGAGGGATTTTCATAAACAAAGTCTTCAAAATGGATTATAAAATCTATCAACTATAACATCAAGTGAATCCCTTTTTGTTCATTCCATCAATTTTCTCTTTTAACAAATTTACCGACCACGGACCTTTCTGACAAAAGCTCGGTACTCAACCACGTTAAAAGCGCTAGTTTTCTTAACTTCTCTTCCTATTAAGTCGCTTTCGCGATATTATTTTTTCTGAATACCAATATTTCGTAATACGCTACTGCGCAGTACAGTCCTGCTTTACTACCAACGGGCTATTAATATAATGTCCGATATTCATACATATGTTGCTTCTGAAAATAGTGTTTTATTAACAAGGAGTACAGCATAATGCTTGGTGTGAGATGTCACCTAAACATAATAATCATTTTTTGAGGGTGTAAAGTCAGAAAAGGAGGGATGATGGAGATAGTGATTTAAAATATTCATGGTGAGAACAGTCATCTCTGTCGTAATTTTACCGTTACATCTTAATTTATAACCTAAGGCACAGCTAGGTTTTGTATTATATTCTTGGTTGCTAGCTATGCTGCTTCATTTTGATAACTCCTATTCTGCAGCACCACGAACGTAACAAGACGAGTTGAAATCTAAGAGCAGCTCGGAGAACACCAAAGTCGTCACATGAACGTGGCGATGTTTTAAACAAACTAGAAACCAAAAAATATTTGAAATATTTTTAATGACAAACAAACTCTTAAGAACTTGCTGATATAACTCATTGTCCTCTGATCAATAATAATTTTTGTAGTTATGATGTGTGTGGAGTTGAATCCTGACGAACTGCTTCAACTATTATCAAAACGGTATAATTACTCATGAACAAGTGTTCCCACAAGGTACTCCATATCCGTTGGCCAGACACCATTGGCAACAGCCTGCTGCGGCAGAGAGCAGACCAGCTTCCAACTAAAGAGGAAATCAGTGGAAAACACTGGAGGAAATTCGCAAAGTGCACCACCAATTATTCTCCAAAGCAAGAGAAAAGGAGAGAGACCATGGAGCACCTTGCACCGGAAATCGGAGGCAAACATCAAAACACTTTGGATCAACTGGGAAAGACAGTATAGGACACAGTAGGTTTAAGACTGCTGCTGCTCGACCAGGAGTAATAGATGTCATTTATATAGTGACTAGGACTAAAGCGTGAGTGAGAGATCTTACCCTTTCACATCAGTTGCGAGGGTCCGTTTTATATTGATGACACGTCTCCCAAATTAGATCTCATTCTCAACAGGTATGTATTGCCCAAACTCACATCCGTAACTGATCTTGGAGTGCATTATTCGCACAGCCTTAACTTCTCCGAACATATCTCCAATAAAGTTTCCCGAATGAGAAGAATGCTTGGTTTCATCTTTCGTAACTTCCTTCATAGAGAATCCAGAACACTTCTCTATGAAACATGCGTAAGACCTATTGCTGAATACTGCTCTTTCTTATTTTCTGACGTACGCCTATTTGTATGTTGAAGCTTGAAGGAATACAAAGGAAATTTACTCGTAAAGTCCTAAATCATAGCTCACCCATTGACTATCCAACCCGATGTAATGAACTCGGGCTTGATCCATTATGGAAAAGAAGGCTTAAGTCCAATCTGATCCTTTAGTTTAAACTCTTGCACAAGCTCACATATTCCTCCTACAGTTTATTCCTTATCCACAGGAGACTATCTTAGGTCCACTTCTCTTCCTGATGGTTATTAACGACGTGTGAGGGTCAGTTAGCTCACCGGCATTGATCTACGCGGACAATACGGAGATCTGGACGTCCACTGGAAGCGAAGAGGATCAAACTCATCTGCAAAACCCCCTTACATCCACTGAGGAATGTGCAGTGAATAATGGTTTAAGACTAAACCAGACGAACTATCACGACATGTTCATCCTGGCTCACATGCAACAAACGATTTGCACCGTCAACGGATGTTCGCTCCCTAATGTCTAATCAGAGCGCGATCTCAATTTAACAACCACTGAAAGCCTTCACACAAGCCCGAACCGTGTAGGAGACGCAGCCAAGGCAAATGCGACTCTGCACTTTGTGCGATGACAACTTGACACTATCACTCCACGATTGTTCTTTACGTTATTTAAGACATGCACGCACCCACACCTGGAGGTACGCAACGTCGTCGCACCACCTCTGCTTAGAAGAGACTTAAACCACTCCGATCGGGTGCAGAGATGAGTAACGAAATGGGTGATAGGGTTGAAGAACAAGCCTTACGAAGATGGACTCCAGCAATTGGGATTATTCCGCCTGAGTTACAGGAGAATCAGAGGTGATCTGATTATGGAGCACAACACACTAAGCACGCCCAACGTGAGCATCTTACGGATGCATCAACACCACTACCCTCGAGGCGATCCTCAAAACACTGCGCATCAAGGAATGAATACTCATGTTCGTGCACACCTTTTCTCATTAAGATTAGTTGCAACTTGGAATGCTCTCCCAGCAGAAGTGACCACAGCCCCGTCAGTAGACAGCTTTAAGAACAGGCTTGACAATCACGTACTCACATATGGATTATCATATCCCTCGTGGACCAGCTGTGCATGATTCTAGTCTTGAGACTTGCTAGTTATTATTGCAATCTCCTAAGATCACTAACTTCGTCTATCTCGCCTATTATCTCTGTTTCCTCTCCCTTGTTTGCACTTCGGTCCTCTCGCACAATCATCACCAATTGATAAAATAAACTATCTGTTTATTTACCCAGTACTGAAATCCTCTTATTAGTAGTAGAATTTCCTCCTTATTATTCTCCACACTGCAACTAACTGATCCTCGGGTTGGTAATGTCACAGCTGCTGGGATCCAGAAACCCTACTGCCATGAAACAAACGTTTTCACTCAAATCACGAGACATACAAACTCACAACCAACTGCCAACTGATGAGTATTAGACAGTCGAGTGTCTAGACCCCATTCAATGGACACTATCAAACACCTGTGACCGTACCGAAAGAACAAGAATCTAGCTCATAGAAATCAAATGATTTTGGATATTGGATTCAGGCCGTGAATGACAATGAATATGGGTGTTACACAAACCGCTTAAAAACCGTTAATAAAAAGATGAAAGTAGGCTTTTCCACGAAGAGTATTAGTATTAACAATGGTCGTCACAAAGATCGGTTTGGATGGCTTGTCCTTGAGGATGCGCTTTTTTCAAAACCTGCCGGCAAAATGAAAGGAAGTCTCTGGCACTAAGGATCAAGATGTTTGACATAGATGCCAAGCTGCTAGAGCAGTTCAGTGCACTTGGTACAACAGATAAAGATGAATTGATAAGTCAGCTGAAAGCAGTCGTTGGAAACGAGTTATCTAACGAGTCGTGTCGGTTTTTCTTAGAACTAGCCGACTGGTAATGTAAAAATACCTGATAATATTAGTGTTTAAGGAACTTACAACGTGCGATCGGTGCGTACTTTGATTTCAGTTTCGAGGGATCTTCATCAGCTAGTTGTGCGACTAATTGCCCACTAACTGTTTGCGAACCATCGGCGAATGTAGACAGCATGCGTATAGACTCCGAAGTTCTAGTAGACCAGAGACAATTCGATGCCCGAATATGGCCGTCACCGTACGATACTCCAGAACCTGGTGGGTTCATCAAAGTAACTATTGAGAACTGTGGTTCTTGTTCTTGGCCGGAAGGAACGTTTCTACGATCTGAAGTTAGTGCTTGTTCATAACTATTTTAACTACATCTGTGAGCAGACAGACCACACTATTGCACGACTTAACAGTCTTTCTGCAGATAACAGTGAAGTCCTGTGGCTCCCGATTGGCGTAGATGGCAGGATCCCCATTCTTCCAATACCTCCGCATCAAATTGTAGATCTAACGCTAAACGTTACTCCTCCAAATCTCCAGCTAACGTTCCATCGTCCTGTTGTTGGTGCTTTGTCCTTCTGTCTTCCCAACGGTGACAGATTTGGGGGTTAGTTATTTTTACACTAAGGCTGCATCTCTTAATTAATGATGTTTTGTTACATTTAAAAATTTTGTGTAAGTTAATCCGTTATTTTAAGTTTCTTAAGTAGATACTTATGTTTTCCAATTGCGTAATGCATTAAAATTATCACTATCATTTATTAGCTGGGAAATATGTACAGCTTTTGGTTTATCAAGTCTTCAATAAACTAAAAGGTTCTGTTGTGAGACTTATTAGTAAAACCATATTAGCAGCGTTCGTAGATCCGTAACCTTAGCGGTCGTATTGCACTTCGCCTATTTAGAGTCTAGACATGACTAAATAAAGTTGTAATAGTAGAATCTGTGCCACACAGGCTCATGTGATCAGGGCGAGTTAGCATTCCTGTATGAAATGCTACTGGTTACTATTAGTACGGATAATTGAGTAGAAATTACGTAAATAGAGTCCCCAGCTAACCTTATTGTATCACTCTACTAGTTCCATAATGCCTTTGACTGAGTATATGGTTTAGCTTGGAAACACTGAAAAGGTCCATTAGGGCTGTAGATTTCTATAGTATGATCTAGAACATGATATGAAGATACTTGGTTCAATATAAAACGGACCCTCGCAACTGATGTGAAAGGGTAAGAGCTCTCACTCACGCTTTAGTCCTAGTCACTATATAAATGACATCTATTACTCCTGGTCGAGCAGCAGTCTTAAACCTACTCTGTCCTATACTGTCTTTCCCAGTTGATCCAAAGTGCTTTGATGTTTGATGTTTGCCTCCGATTTCCGGTGCAAGGTGCTCCATGGTCTCTCTCCTTTTCTCTTGCTTTGGAGATTAATTGGTGGTGCACTTTGCGAATTTCCTCCAGTGTTTTCCACTGATTTCCTCTTTAGTTGGAAGCTGGTCTGCTCTCTGCCGCAGCAGGCTGTTGCCAATGGTGTCTGGCCAACGGATATGGAGTACCTTGTGGGAACACTTGTTCATGAGTAATTATACCGTTTTGATAATAGTTGAAGCAGTTCGTCAGGATTCAACTCCACACACATCATAACTACAAAAATTATTATTGATCAGAGGACAATGAGTTATATCAGCAAGTTTTTAAGTGTTCGCAAGTCGATTTCCAGTGAAGCAAATTTAAAACGAGAACGAAAAATTCGATTAAGCGGTATTCAGAAGATTAGAATTTGTTAAAAGGCGCCATCGCAAGCGATTTTGGGTCATGTAGTTCTGGGTCTGTAACCAATGTTTACGATTCTGGTGAGGACCCTAACCAGGTAGTCTACATCTACCAATATGGCTCACTTCAGTTGTCAGTGACTTCATTGATTTGTGCCTTGTTTTGGCCTGTCAGTCTGTCAGTTTTTAACGTAGAACTTCGTACGTACGTACGTCAGTCCAAGTTGCCATAATAGGGCGGAAAATATATTACAGGAACAACTAGAAAGACAGTTAGGCGACCATTTAAGCGATTCCCATCCGGAAGCAGGTTGGAATGATATCAAAAAGCTGTGGAAACAGCAGTGATATCTGATAGTAAGGTTGACCATAAGGCTAGAATGAAGCCGTGGAACTCAGTAGCATCCACCGATCTGATGGATACCCGAAAACTCATCCCACCTGGCTCTGAACATACTGAAGAACGAAGTCAACTTAGGCTCAGACTTATAAAAAGCCTACGTAACGATCGCGAACAGTGGTGGGTGGCGAAAGCAAAAGCGATGGAAAAGGCAGCGGCGATCGGCAACAGTAGACAACTTTTCCGACTTATCAAGGAAACTGGTATTAGAAATCCTAGTGTAAGTGAGACTATCTCAGAAAATGACGGGACTATTATTTATTCTCAATCCAGGAGACTGGATCGATGGGCAGAACACTTTAGGGATCAGTTCAACTGGCCACGAGCCACTCTTCGGTTACCCACGATCTCCAGTCATCCTGAATGGCAAATCGACGTAAGTCCCCCTAGTCTTAAATTGAAAAGCGTTAGGAAATCTGAAGCGAGGACGAGCTGCAGGTCCTGATAGACTGACCCCTGAGATACTTAAGGATGGTGGTCCAGTTTTAGCAACTAGGTTGACCGAGATCTTAGGTAGAATCTGGGAACTGGACGCAATCCCTTTCCGACTGGTCTCAATCCTTGATTGTCCCAATCTATAAGAAAGGACAAAAGTCTTCTTGTGACAATCACAGGGGAATAAGTCTAACTAATATAGTATCTAAAATACTGGCCTCAATAATACTTGGGCGCTTAACGAAGAGCAGACTAGAGAAAACCAGGCTGGTTTTCGACCCGGACGTGGTTGTATAGACTACATTTTTACACTGTGACAGGTCCTGGAACACAGACACACATTTAGGCGTCCTACAATAGTTGTTTTCCTAGACCTTAAGGCGGCATTTGACTCAGTGGATCGTGAGGTTCTGTGGCAGTGTCTGTCATTGAAAGGTGTACCAAATAAGTACATTAACCTTATACAACTCTGTACTCGAAAACCACTGGTCGGGTGAGAGCTTATGGCGAACTGTCACCGGAATTCTTCACTTCAAGTGGTGTCCGTCAGGGATGTCCACTTTCTCCATTCTTTTTTAATTTTATCATAGACATGCTCCTAGACATAACATTATCCTCGTCTGAATTTTCAGGAGTAGACCTTCTACCAGGTGACTCGCTTATTGACTTAGAATATGCCGATGACATAGTTCTACTTGGTGAAGATGCTGACAAAATGCAGTCTTCTTACTACCCTAAGCAACAATGCAAGCATGTTCGGGATGCGGTTTTCCTTCTCGAAATGCAAAATGTTGCTTCAAGATTGGTTTTCATCGGCACCTGGACTAGTGATAGGGAGTGAAGTAGTCGAACGTGTAGACCGTTTCACTTATCTTGGGAGTCTCATCAGTGCTGATGGCCTGGTGACTGACGAAATCTCAGCACGGATACAGAAGGCTCGATTGGCTTTTGCCAACCTGTGTCACTTATGGCGTAGGCGAGATATCCGTTTGCTGACTAGAGGACGAGTGTACTATGCAGTAGTTCGCTGCGTCTTACTTTATGGCTGTGAAACATGGCCAGTGAGAGTAGAAGATATTCGTAGGTTACTGGTTTTCGATCATAGATGTCTTCGAAGCATTGCTCGTGTACCTTGGGACAACCGAGTGAGCAACGCTGTTATTAGGAAACGGGTACTAGGTAAGAATGGCAGATCAATCGATGAAGTGGTGAAACTTCATCAGTTGAGGTGGTTGGGACATGTGTTGCGTATGCCTAACCACCGACTGCCTCGACGAGCTTTGTTTTGTAGTGTAGGAGTATGTTGGAAGAAAATCTAGGGGCGGCCAGACCAAAACATGGCAGAAATCCATGACGTCATTGACGAGTGGACTTAGCCATGTCGGTAATTGTCGACTACCTGGTTGGGGTCCGCGAGATGATAATAATCGATGGTTAGAGACCTTGAATGACATGGCTCAAAGTCGTTCGCAATGGCGCCGGTGCATTTATTCTCTGTGTTCTCTCAAATCCTAATCTTCTGTATTCTTCAACCCCTCTAGTTTCGACTCTCTAAACTTTACTCACTGAATCATACTTCTTGAATAGTATCTTCTAACCTTAATCTCTCCGATTACTTCTAATAATTTTACTACCTCTTCTACTATTGGATTTGAATTGACAATTACTTCTCTGTGCTGATGTGGTATGGCAACATGAACTGATGTACTTACGTACGAGGTTCTACGTTGCAACTGACTGCCTGACTGGCCATAGGTATCAGCACAGAGACGCCGCTGTTAGTTCAAATCCCACAGTGGTGGATATAGTAGTAAAATTACTTGTAATGGAGAATATTTGCGATCGAAGATATTATTCAAGAAGTATTGTTCAGTGAGAACTTTAGAATGAGAAAGATAGAGATGATCAAGAATTCTGAAGACTAGAATTCGAGAGAACACAAAGAGTGGATGCACCTGCGCCATTGTAAACGATTTTGAGCGATGTCATTCAAGGCCTCTAACCATCGATGACTTTCGTCTCGCAAAACCTAACCAGGTAGCTTACATGTGCCAACATGAATCAGTCCTGCGTTGAGAATGAATCAGACAGCCATCCTTTTTTGAGATAGTTTCCCTAATAGATGGATTTCTTATACTGGTTTCCTTGATAACTCGGAACAACTGTCTACTGTCGCTTATCGCCGCTGCCTTTTCCATCGCTTTCGCCACCCACCACTGTTCGCGATCATTGTGTAGGCTTTTTATCGGTCTGCGCCCAAGCTGACTTCGCTCTTCATCATGTTCAGAGCCAGGAAGGATGAGTTTACGAGCAGCCATCAGTTCGGTGGACGCTACTGAGATCCACCGCTTCTTCCTAGCCTTATGATTTACCTTACTAGCAGATATCACTGCTGTTTCCACAGCCTTTTTGATATCGTTCCAACCTGTCTCTGAATGGGAATCACTTACATGGTCGCCCATTTGTTTCTCTAGTTGTTCCTGAAATATATGCATGGCTCTGCTATCATTAGGAAGAACTGTAAGAGGTTTCCTTGCGGTGTCTTTCCAGTTAGTCGCGAACGAATACATGCTCATACTAGGGCATGATCTGAATCTAAACATGTGTCCCAGAATGAGCGACAGTTCTCTATCGAACCCCTCCATCGGTGGCTGATAGCGATGTGCTCTAGTTGGGTCCAGCGTCGAGACGACGTTGGGGGTCGTCAGTTCAAAAGATGTTTTACCTTATGCCTAAAGTGAAAATTTGCTAGGAGTAAGAGGTTATCTGAGCAAAGTTGCAGCAGACTATCGCCATTATCGGTTCTTTGGGCCGCGGCACCATAAGACCCACCCAGGTGTCTTTCCTTTTCACACAGTCTTCCTACTTGAGCATTGGAGTTACCAACCACCATTACTTTATCAGAGTGCCTAACTTTTTGGAGGAGGTCCGAAAGAATATGCTGATGACATAGTCCTATTCGGTGAAGACGCTGACAAAATGCAGAGTCTTCTTACTACCCTAAGCAACAATGCAAGCATGTTCGGGATGCGGTTTTCCCCCTCGAAATACAAAACGTTGGTTCAAGATTGGGTTGCATCGGTACCTGAACTAGTGATAGGGAGTGAAGTAGTCGAGCATGTAGATCGCTTCACTTATCTCGGGAGTCTCATCAGTGCTGATGGCCTGGTGACTGATGAAATCTCAGCACGGATATAGAAACATCGACTGCGCAGCAGTCCACTCCGAGATCTTGCACGACATGGCTCAAAAGTGTTTGCAATGGTGCAGATGCTTTCATTCATTATGTTTTTTCAAATTCTAACCTTCTGAATTCCTCCTCATCTCTGTCTTTCGCTTTCTAAATTTATCTCACTGAATTATACTTCTCGAACCGTATCTTCGAACCTCAATCCCGACCGTAGCTGCTACCTTGACGTGGTGGTCGGGCTTGCCTATCGTGATGACCCAACCGAGCTATACTGGCTGGAACATATGTTCCTCAAGGTTCTACCATGCCAGGCAGGTCGATTGGAGAACGATGAGACTAAAAGCAGCTACCCAAGGTCTGAGGGCGAAGTCGTACTGCTGACTGCAGAGAGGTGTGACAGCAGTAAGGTGTTTCCCTCGGACAACCAGCATCTGCAGCGATGCTGCCTTCTCACAAGGAAGGAAGGGTTAGAAAAGGTCGGCCCTAAAAATGTCACACCTCCCCTAACTCACGGATTTCCGTCTCCTTGGGTAAGGGTGCCCACTAAGGGCCTTTAAGAACGGAGCTAATCCTCAAAAAACATTTCATAAAAAGGCCGTGCGTGACCGGCCTCAAGCAGTTGTCTCCTTGGCTCTGTGGTCACGCACCAACACTAATCCATCTTCCTTTTCAGGTCCCTCAAGAAACAACCTTCCACGGTGTGGGCAGCCGGGAAGTGACAACCGCCCTCATACCCGTAACAGCACACGAGACCAAATTGGTCAAAATCAAATCCTTCCTACACCCCCTAGTACCTCTCTTATCTCCACGACTAACTCTTCTCACATTCATTTATTACAGTGCACAGCTAATGCAGACGATACGAGTTCGCGAAACGTCGTTCCTGGTCTCCTTAAACCTCGCTCTAGACTACATGTTGGAGCATTTAATGTACGGACATTGTGTCAAATAGGGCAACAGGCTTCCTTAGCTAAGACCTTAGAATCTCGTTCCATCGATGTATGCTGCGTCTCGGAAACGCGCATACAGGATCCGAGTCACGTCATACACTTGACCACACCATGTCAAAATAAAGAAGCAGCTCGATTTACTCTTCGTGTATCCGGTAGCCCTGATGCTGCTTCCCGGGGTCTTGCTGGCGTAGGCATAGCATTGAGTCCTAGGGCAGAACAATCTCTCCTTGACTGGATCCCAATAGATAGTCGATTGTGCGCTGTCCGACTAAACGGGACAGTAAGGACTCGGAAAGATAGGGACACTCGCCGTTGCCTCTTCGTCGTATCTGCCTATGCCCCCACTGAATGCAGTTCAGACGAGGTTAAGGATGAGTTTTACAGAAAGCTTTCGGACCTCCTCCAAAAAGCTAGGCGCTCTGATATTGTAATCATGGCTGGTGACTTTAATGCTCAAGTAGGTAGACTAAGTGAGCAGGAGAGACACCTAGGTGGATGTTATGGTGTCGCGGCTCAGAGAACAGACAATGGTGACCGTCTGTTGCAACTATGCTCAGACAACCGCCTATTCCTAGCAAACACTAACTTTAGGCATAAGGAAAAGCATCTGTTGACCTGGCGACCTCCAAAGTCGTCTCAACGTTGGACTCAACTAGATCACATCGCCATCAGCCACCGATGGAGGGGTTCGATAGAGGACTGTCGCTCGTTCTGGAGCACATGTCTAGATTCAGATCATGCCCTAGTGCGAGCGCGTATTTGTTTGAAGCTTACTGGGCGTAGGAAAGACACCGTAAGTAAGCCTCTTAGGGTTTTACTTAATGATAATAAGGCGAAAAATATATTTCAGGAACAACTAGAAAGACAGTTAGGCGACCATTTAAGCGATTCCCATCCGGAAGCAGGATGGAATGATATCAAAAAGGCTGTGGAAACAGCAGTGATATCTGCTAGTAAGGTTGACCATAAGGCTAGAATGAAACCGTGGATCTCAGTAGCATCCACCGATCTGATGGATGCCCGAAAACTCATCCCACCTGGCTCTGAACATGATGAAGAACGAAGTCAACTTAGGCGCAGACTTATAAAAAGCCTACGTAACGATCGCGAACAGTGGTGGGTGGCGAAAGCAAAAGCGATGGAAAAGGCAGCGGCGATCGGCAACAGTAGACAACTTTTCCGACTTATCAAGGAAACTGGTATTAGAAATCCTAGTGTAAGTGAGACTATCTCAGAAAATGACGGGACTATTATTTATTCTCAATCCAGGAGACTGGATCGATGGGCAGAACACTTTAGGGATCAGTTCAACTGGCCACGAGCCACTCTTCGGTTACCCACGATCTCCAGTCATCCTGAATGGCAAATCGACGTAAGTCCCCCTAGTCTTAAATTGAAAAGCGTTAGGAAATCTGAAGCGAGGACGAGCTGCGGGTCCTGATAGACTGACCCCTGAGATATTTAAGGATGGTGGTCCAGTTTTAGCAGCTAGGTTGACTGAGATCTTAGGTAGAATCTGGGAACTGGACGTAATCCCATCCGACTGGTCTCAATCACTGATTGTCCCAATCTATAAGAAAGGACAGAAGTCTTCTTGTGACAATCACAGGGGAATAAGTCTAACTAATATAGTATCTAAAATACTGGCCTCAATAATACTTCGACGCTTAACGAAAGCTCATGAAGAGCAAACTCGAGAAAACCAATCTGGTTTTCGACCTGGACGTGGCTGTATAGACCACATTTTCACACTACGACAGGTCCTGGAACACAGACACACATTTAGGCGTCCTACAATAGTTGTTTTCCTAGACCTTAAGGCGGCATTTGACTCAGTGGATCGTGAGGTTCTGTGGCAGTGTCTGTCATTGAAAGGTGTACCAAATAAGTACATTAACCTCATACAAGCTCTCTACTAAAACACCACTGGTCGAGTGAGAGCTTATGGCGAACTGTCATCGGAATTCTCTACTTCAAGTGGTGTCCGTCAGGGATGTCCACTTTCTCCATTCTTTTTTAATTTTATCATAGACATGCTCCTAGACATAACCTTATCCTCGTCTGAATTTTCAGGAGTAGACCTTTTACCAGGTGGCTCGCTTATTGACTTAGAATATGCCGATGACATTGTCCTGCTTGGTGAAGACGCTGAAAAAATGCAGAGTCTTCTTACTACCCTAAGCAACAATGCAAGCATGTTCGGGATGCGGTTTTCCCCCTCGTAAAGCAAACTGTTGCTTTAAGACTGTGTTGCATCGGCATCTGAACTAGTGATAGGGAGTGAAGTAGTCGAACGTGTAGACCGCTTCACTTATCTTGGGAGTCTCATCAGTGCTGATGGCCTGGTGACTGACGAAATCTCAGCACGGATACAGAAGGCTCGATTAGCTTTTGCCAACCTGCGTCACTTATGGCGTAGGCGAGATATCCGTTTGCTGACTAAAGGACGAGTGTACTGCGCAGTGGTTCGCTCGGTCTTACTTTATGGCTGTGAAACATGGCCAATGAGAGTAGAAGATACTCGTCGGTTATTGGTTTTCGATCATAGATGTCTTCGAAGCATTGCTCGTACATCGTGGGACACCCGAGTGAGCAACGCTGTTATTAGGAAACGGGTACTAGGTAAGAATGGCAGATCAATCGATGAAGTGGTGAAACTTCATCAGTTGAGGTGGTTGGGACACGTGTTGCGTATGCCTAACCACCGACTGCCTCGTCGAGCTTTGTTTTGTAGTGTAGGAGTATGTTGGAAGAAAGCTAGGGGCGGCCAGACCAAAACATGGCATAAATCCATGACGTCATTGACGAGTGGACTTAGCCATGTCGGTAATTGTCGACTACCTGGTTGGGGTCCGCGAGATGATAATAATCGATGGTTAGAGACCTTGAATGACATGGCTCAAAGTCGTTCGCAATGGCGCCGGTGCATTTATTCTCTGTGTTCTCTCAAATCGTAATCTCCTGGGTTCTTCAACAACTCTAGTTTTTACTTTATAAACTTATCTCTTTGAATCATACTTCTTGAATAATATCTTCTAATCCTAACCTATGAGATTACTCCTAATACCTTTACTACCTCTTCTACTATTGGATTTGAATTGACAATTACTTCTCTGTGCTGATGTGGTATGGCAACATGAACTGATGTACTTGCGTACGAAGTTCTACGTTGCAACTGACTGACTGACTGACTGGTCAAAATCAAATCCTTCCTACACCCCCTTATGTCTCTATTGTCTCTACGACCAACTCGACTCACACCCTTTTCTCACTGCACCGCTAATGCAGACGAAGCGAGATCACGAAACGTCGTTCCTGGTCTCCTTAAACCCCATTCTAGACTACATGTTGGAGCTTTTAATGTACGGACATTGTGTCAAATAGGGCAACAGGCATCATTAGCTAGGACTTTAGAAACTCGTGCCATCGATGTATGCCGCGTCTCGGAAACGCGCTTACAGGATCCTAGTAAAGTCAATAACCCGATTCCACCTTGTCAAAACGAAGAAGCAGCCCGATTCACTCTTCGTGTATCCGGTAGCCATAGCGTTGAGTCCTAGGGCAGAATTATCTCTCCTAGACTGGATCCCAGTAGATAGTCGTTTGTGCGCTGTCCGACTAAACGGGACAGTAGGGACTCGGAAAGATAGGGACACTCGCCGTTGCCTCTTCGTCATATCTGCCTATGCCCCCACTGACTGCAGTGCAGACGAGGTTAAAGATGAGTTTTACAGAAAGCTTTCGGACCTCCTCCAAAAAGCTAGGCGCTCTGATATAGTAATAATGGCTTGTGACTTTAATGCTCAAGTAGGTAGACTAGGTGAAAAGGAAAGACATCTTGGTGGATGTTATGGTGTAGCGACTCACAGAACAGACAATGGCGACCGTCTGTTGCAACTATGCTCAGACAACCGCCTATTCCTAGCAAACACTAACTTTAGGCATAAGGAAAAGCATCTGTTGACCTGGCGACCTCCAAAGTCGTCTCAACATTGGACTCAACTAGATCACATCGCCATCAGCCACCGATGGAGGGGTTCGATAGAAGACTGTCGCTCGTTCTGGGGCACATGTTTGGATTCAGATCATGCTCTAGTGCGAGCTCGTATCTGTTTGAGGCTTACTGGACGTAGGAAAGATTCCGCGAGGAAGCCTCTTGGGGTTTCACTTAATGATAATCAAACTAAGAAAATATTTCAGGAGCAACTAGAGAGTTAAGCAACGATGTAAGTGATTCCCATCCAGAAGCAGGTTGGTATGATATCAAAAAGGCTGTGGAAACAGCAGTGATATCTGCTAGTAAGGTAAACCATAGGGCTAGGATGAAGCCGTGGATTTCAGTCGCATCCACCGAACTGATGGCTGCTCGAAAACGCATCCCACCTGACTGTGAGCATGATGAAGAACTTAGTCAGCGTAGAAGTAGGCTGATAAAAAGTCTGCGTAACGACCGCGAACAGTGGTGGGTGGCGAAAGCAAAAGCGATGGAAAAGTCAGCGGCGATAGGCAACACTAGACAACTTTTCCGCCTTATTAAAGAAGCCGGTATTAGGAACCCGAATGTGAGTGAGACTATCTCGGAAAAGGATGGTCTTATTATCCATTCTCAATCTAGGAGGCTGGACCGATGGGCAGAACACTTTAGGGATCAGTTCAACTGGCCTCGAGCCACTCTTCAGTTACCCACGATCTCCAGTCATCCTGAATGGCAAATCGACGTAAGTCCCCCTAGTCTTAAATTGAAAAGCGTTAGGAAATCTGAAGCGAGGACGAGCTGCGGGTCCTGATAGACTGCCCCCTGAGATATTTAAGGATGGTGGTCCAGTTTTAGCAGCTAGGTTGACTGAGATCTTAGGTAGAATCTGGGAACTGGACGTAATCCCATCCGACTGGTCTCAATCACTGATTGTCCCAATCTATAAGAAAGGACAGAAGTCTTCTTGTGACAATCACAGGGGAATAAGTCTAACTAATATAGTATCTAAAATACTGGCCTCAATAATACTTCGACGCTTAACGAAAGCTCATGAAGAGCAAACTCGAGAAAACCAATCTGGTTTTCGACCTGGACGTGGCTGTATAGACCACATTTTCACACTACGACAGGTCCTGGAACACAGACACACATTTAGGCGTCCTACAATAGTTGTTTTCCTAGACCTTAAGGCGGCATTTGACTCAGTGGATCGTGAGGTTCTGTGGCAGTGTCTGTCATTGAAAGGTGTACCAAATAAGTACATTAACCTCATACAAGCTCTCTACTAAAACACCACTGGTCGAGTGAGAGCTTATGGCGAACTGTCATCGGAATTCTCTACTTCAAGTGGTGTCCGTCAGGGATGTCCACTTTCTCCATTCTTTTTTAATTTTATCATAGACATGCTCCTAGACATAACCTTATCCTCGTCTGAATTTTCAGGAGTAGACCTTTTACCAGGTGGCTCGCTTATTGACTTAGAATATGCCGATGACATTGTCCTGCTTGGTGAAGACGCTGAAAAAATGCAGAGTCTTCTGACTACCCTAAGCAACAATGCAAGCATGTTCGGGATGCGGTTTTCCTTCTCGAAATGCAAAATGTTGCTTCAAGATTGGGTTTCATCGGCACCTGGACTAGTGATAGTGAGTGAAGTAGTCGATCGTGTAGACCGTTTCACTTATCTTGGGAGTCTCATCAGTGCTGATGGCCTGGTGACTGACGAAATCTCAGCACGGATACAGAAGGCTCGATTGGCTTTTGCCAACCTGTGTCACTTATGGCGTAGGCGAGATATCCGTTTGCTGACTAGAGGACGAGTGTACTATGCAGTAGTTCGCTGCGTCTTACTTTATGGCTGTGAAACATGGCCAGTGAGAGTAGAAGATATTCGTAGGTTACTGGTTTTCGACCATAGGTGTCTTCGAAGCATTGCTCGTGTACCTTGGGACAACCGAGTAAGCAATGCTGTCGTTAGGAATCGGGTGCTAGGTAAGGATGGCAGATCAATCGATGAAGTGGTGAAACTTCATCAGCTGAGGTGGTTGGGACATGTGTTGCGTATGCCTAACCACCGACTGCCTCGACGAGCTTTGTTTTGTAGTGTAGGAGTATGTTGGAAGAAAATTTAGGGGCGGCCAGACCAAAACATGGCAGAAATCCATGACGTCATTGACGAGTGGACTTAGCCATGTCGGTAATTGTCGACTACCTGGTTGGGGTCTGCGAGATGATAATAATCGATGGTTAGAGACCTTGAATGACATGGCTCAAAGTCGTTCGCAATGGCGCCGGTGCATTTATTCTCTGTGTTCTCTCAAATCCTAATCTTCTGTATTCTTCAACCCCTCTAGTTTCGACTCTCTAACTTTACTCACTGAATCATACTTCTTGAATAGTATCTTCTAACCTTAATCTCTCCGATTACTTCTAATAATTTTACTACCTCTTCTACTATTGGATTTGAATTGACAATTACTTCTCTGTGCTGATGTGGTATGGCGACATGAACTGATGTACTTACGTACCAAGTTCTACGTTGCATCTGACTGACTGACTGACTCGAACCTCAATCTTCTGCAATACTGATAATACTTCTACTATCGGTAACATTATGGGATTTGAACTGACAGTTGCTTCTCTGTGCTTATGTGGTATGGCAACTTGAACTGATGTACGTACGTACGAAGTTCTACGTTGTGACTAAGTGAATGAACTGCAGTCAGTGGGGGCGTAGGCGGATGTGACGAAGAGGCAACGGCGAACGTCCCAATCTTTCCAAGTCCTTACTGTCCCGTACAGTCGGACAGTGCACAAGCGACTACCTACTAACATCCAGTTTAGGAGTGCTAGTTCTGCCCTAGGACCCAATGCAATACCTACATTGATGCCATGGGAAGCAGCAACAGGGCTTCCAGATACGGAGCGCAAACCCAGTTGTTTCTCTATCTGCGCAAGGTGAAATCAAATCGATTATTTTACTCTGATCTTGTATGCGCGTTTCGGATACGCAGCATACATAAGTGACGGAAGATTCTAAAATCCTGGCTAAAGAAGCTTATTGTCCTACTTGACACAACTTCTGGACATTAAAAGCTGCAACATGTAGTTCAGAACGGAGTTTCAGCAGACCGGGGATAACGTTTTGTGTACTCGAATCGTCTGCGTTAGCGGTGTGGGATGGTAAAACAATGTGAGAAGGATTAATCGTGGAGATAATGATGTTAGGGGGTGTAGGAAGGGTAATCACGATAGGCAAGCCCAACCACCACGTTAAGGTAACATTTAGGGTCGTGGTTTTGGTCTGGCCGCTCATAGCTTTCTCCCAACCTACTTCTGCGTTACTAAACATCACTCGACGAGAAAGCCGGTGGTCGGGCTATGTGACACTTGTCACAACCACCCCAACCTCGACCGTAGCTGCTACCTTGACGTCGCGGTTGGGCTTGCCTATCGTGATGACCCAACCAAGCTATATTGGGTTGAACATACGTTCGTGCAGGTCCTACTATGCCCTGCAGGTCGATTGAAGAACGGTAACAGCTACTTCAGATCTGAAGGCTAAGTCATACTGCTGACAGCAGTAAGGTGTTTCCTCCCGACAACCAGCATTGGCAGCGATGCTGCCTTCTCACAAGGAAGCCTTAGAAAAGGTCAACCCTAAAAATGTCACACTACTTTATCTCACGGATTATCGTCTTCGGCGGTAAGGCCTTTTAAACAACAGCGGATCTGACACTTCAAACTACTCTTGAAAAGGCTGTGCATGACTGGCCTCAAGCAGTTGTCCCTTGGGCTCTGCGGTCACGCTCCCAGGTCTCTAAGACCAACACTAATCTATCTTCATTTTCAGGTTCCTCAAGAAACACCCTTCCACGGTGTGGGCAGACGGAAAAAGACATCTGCCCTCATAACCGTAACAACATACGAGACCAAATCGGTAACAATCAGATCCTTCCTACACCCCCTAACATCATTATCTCCACGATTAATCCTTCTCACATTGTTTTACCATCCCACACCGCTAACGCAGACGATTCGAGTACACAAAACGTTATCCCTGGTCTGCTGAAACTCCGTTCTGAACTACATGTTGCAGCTTTTAATGTCCAGAAGTTGTGTCAAGTAGGACAATAAGCTTCTTTAGCCAGGATTTTAGAATCTTCCGTCACTTATGTATGCTGCGTATCCGAAACGCGCATACAAGATCAGAGTAAAATAATCGATTTGATTTCACCTTGCGCAGATAGAGAAACAACTGGGTTTGCGCTCCGTATCTGGAAGCCCTGTTGCTGCTTCCCATGGCATCAATGTAGGTATTGCATTGGGTCCTAGGGCAGAACTAGCACTCCTAAACTGGATGTTAGTAGGTAGTCGCTTGTGCACTGTCCGACTGTACGGGACAGTAAGGACTCAGGAGATTCACTACTCCATCAATTGGTGTTCCATTCGTACCTAGAACCCGTTTCCTAACCAATGTTTCTAAGACATCTATGATTGATTATTAGGAACTTACAAATATCCTCTACGCTTACTGAGTGTTTAACACTTAGTAGGACGTAGTGAACTGCTGCACAGCAGACTCGTCCTTTAGTTAGTAGACGGATATTTCGCCTACGTCATGAGTAACGCAAGTTGGCTAAAGCCAATCGAGCCTTCTGTATCCGTGCCGACATTTCGTCAATCACCAGCACTCATGAAACTCCCAAGATAAGAAAAGTGGTCATTTGTTTCACTCCCTATTACTATTTAAGGACTCTGATGTTAGGTAAAAGTAGTTTTGAGTTCCAGGTGTTTTTCGAATGCATGGATTCTGCCCGTGCTTTGCCACTCCAAGCTTTTACATCTGCATCAGCTTCAATTTGCTTATCAATGATTCTGCCAAGGTGTGTAAAAATTTCCGCTTTTCCTAGAGCTTCTCAGTATATCATTGTTACTGACAGTATTTTGAATTTTGCCAACTTTATTTCGTTGGGTTGTTATAGTATGGGAACTTGAGCTAACTCGTAAGTTTTGAGTTAGTTACAACTGACTAAGCCTCCATTATTTGGTTTCTAAAAATCCTCATGATAATTTAGTTTGGGGTTCCGAAACGGGAGAAGTCCAGGCTTCGAATAACACAACTTGAAGTAGTTTTGAAAAATGAGAATGCCATATTGCTCTCACTCTACTTACTTTTCTTCTCATCGCGATTGATTTTCCACAATCTGAAAACGTAGGTTTGAGCTGAAGAAATTTTCTAAGATTTCTTGCGTTAGATTACTGTTTTCATTTTATAGATTGTAATGCAAGTGCCTGAAGTACATCCATGATCACTGCCATATTTAAATAAAGTCACTTTGTATAACTTTTTATACACAACCTCCATTGAATAATGTCATATAATAGGTTCGTTCTCAAGCATTTAAAACATTTAATCATACTTTGGAAAATGTTTTGAGCCATTTCATTACATAGTAACTAAGTTGCTTATGGTTCTAATTCCTTGTAGAAATTCTTTACTGCACTGCTGTGCCTGATCTGGACAACATGACTTGGAGGTATCAAAGAGGCATAGTAGCAAGCAGTTTGAGCGCTGGACGGAATAGCGTAAGTGTAATAGTTTTAAAAATAATGATTGATCAGCACTAATTGATAATCAAACAAGTCCGCAAACCGATTGTTTCTTAACCTTCAATACTGTTATATTTATAGCCATATATTTTGCTTTTCAGCCTATGCTTTTGGAAGATGCTTAAAGGAACACATCCGAGGGATCCAACTGTGATAGTATCTCCGTGGTTAATCTTCAAACTTGTCCATAATACTTATTTTCTTGACTCTAATTTCCAGGTATTAGTGCCAATATTTATTTACGTCACCAAAATGATTCTCTTCATTTTCCAGATATAGTAAACGTATTTAGCACGAGCTAGTCGCTACATGTAATTCATAACTGATGTACAAATTTCATATAAAGTATTTCAAAAATGGTCTATTATTATTGTAGAAAGTCATTAGTACGTTTATTTTTTCAGGCATAATAGATTATTACACAAAGAAATCATGGTTACATAATAATGATCATTTAAAAAATCGAAGTAAGCTGCTTCGCTATGCATTTGCAAAGCAACAGAAAGACTTGATTGAATTAATAAAAAACAGCAGCCAATATCCTGCAGTTACAGGTTAGTATAGGTTAAAAACTAAATTAAGCTTGTAGGTAAAACTTGAGTTAAAGCATAAAAAATATTGATGTGGGAGAGATTCGAAGTTGTAAAAATTAAGTGATTGAATAAAAATATTATTCCTGTTAGCTATCTTTGTGAAACCGAATAAGCAGACAGAAATATTGTGTTCGGTGTGTATGATGCCGTTTAGCTCCGTCATGAATGGTGCTAAGTGTTAAGCCAGGCGCCTTCATTCCTTTTTTCCCAGGCTCTCTCGTGCTGCACGAATAAGCGGTCCTAAAGAGGACAAGCTACCTGCGTGCCTGAAAAAATCGTGATTAAGCAGTTCCTTTGCAGAAGCTCTTTTAACAGGATCCACGACTAAACATCTGTCCAGAAAATCTTGGAGCATCGGATGCAAGTTCTTGGCTTTTGGTCTAGGTTTCCCCATAGTCTGGATGAGGTAAATTGCCTGAGTAATGCAAAAAGTATGTTATTACTATAAAATGCAAAAACGTCCTACAATGAATACTAGTGGCTTAAGTGTAGAAAAATTTCTCAATTACTGATTGAATCAGTAGCAAAATGTCTTTTTAACTACATAGAACCACATTTGTAGAAAATTTTGATTCGAATGTAAAGTGAGACTTATACTTTTCAGAAATTCACATGTAGAACTTGTAAAATAATTGTGTGTGATAGTAAAAGACTCGAATATAGTTCGAATAAGAAACAAAAGACAATGTGCTAGAGTCTAGAGTTTAGTATTGTTAGAAAACAGGAAATGGTATCGATAGCCGAATTTGTTTAGGGATAATTCAAATGTAGGCGGTAGAAACTCCTCCTACTTCGTACTTATCGTTTTTACACAGACTGAACATAAGCACGAGCCTACTCATGCCAACGTTGAAGTTGGTTGTCTGAAACGACCCTGGTTATCAAAACCTAATTGTGAGCCTTTGAAATCTGTTCAAACGAAGGTATTTACAGGTAAAGATGAGGACAAGTTTGTGACTACAAGTTATATAGTATCTTCGCTTGGGCTTGTAGGTAGGATAGGCCGAAATCCGGGTTTTAGACGAAGTGAGTAACACAAACATTAACGTCGAGTGTTGGACAAAGACTAATTACATCGAGCTGTCATAGTTCATGATAAAGTACGCAGAAATATACAAAAACAAATTATCCATGTGAAATGTCGACCAAGAAAGTATGCTCACCAACATACAAAGAGTGCATTTGCATCTTTTGTATAAGACGGAACAATTTAACGTTAATGTATTTCTGCTTTTGCTACCTGATACTGTTTGTTGTTATATCATTAGCAGCTGCTTCCACTCCTATCTGTGTTTGTGATCAACTGGAATCAATATTTATGCACGTTCAACCGAACTTAATTGTTTAAATCACTTTTTACAGAAGAGTTACTTCTAGATTATTGATGACCAGTAGTAAAATAATTTGTGCGTTCATTTTTATGTTGACGTTAACGGTAACCAGGTCAGACAGTTTCCAACAGGTTCGGGTTTGTTGATAAGGAACAAGTAGTTAAAGGAGAAAATTACACTATTTGTTTGTCTACACGAAAATATGAAAATAACGCTACCCCTTTCTATATGGCTCGACTTCTAGTTGCACATTTATGATCTATTAGAGATCGTAGTGGGCAGTACCGAGAATCATACTCAGTGAAGTCGAGTTGCTGGTAGCGATTATAGAGTAAAACAATTCAGCAGCTAAGGATGGAAGAGATTCTTATTTAAACGAATTAATACAACTATTTTGCCAAACCCAAGTTAGTCTATCGGGTTTTAAAATACACTTTTAGTGCCAAGGCTGAAGATAATATTCAGTTACTCAAATCTAGGCCCGACCGTAGCTGCTACCTTGACGTGGTGGTCGGGCTCGCCTATCGTGATGACCCGACCGAGCTATACTGGCTGGAACACATGTTCCTGAAGGTTCTACCATGCTAGGCAGGTCGACTGGAGAACGATGAGACTAAAAGCAGATACCCAAGGTCTGAGGGCGAAGTCGTACTGCCGACTGAAGAGAGGTATGAGAACAGTAAGGTGTTTCCCTCGGACAACCAGCATCTGCAGCGATGCTGCCTTCTCACAAGAAAGGAAGGGTTAGAAAAGGTCGACCCTAAAAATGTCACACCTCCACTACCTCACGGATTTCCGTCTCCTTGAGTAGGGGTGCCCACTAAGTGCTTTTAAGGGCGGAGCTAATACTCAAAAAACCTTCCATTCATAGGCCGGCCTCAAGCAATTGTCCTCTGGGCTCTGCGTCACGCACTCCAATCTACCTTCCTTTTCAGGCCCCTCAAGAAACACCCTTCCATGGTATAGGCTGCCGGGAAGCGACACCGCCCTCATACTCGTAACACCAAGCGAGACAAATTGGTCAAAATCAAATCCTTCCTGCAACCTCTAATTCCTCTCTTATCTCCTAACTCTTCTCACATTCCTTTATTACAGTGCACAGCTAATGTAAACGATGCGAGTTCACTGAACGTCATTTCTAGTCTCCTGAAACCCCGTTCCAAACTACATGTTGGAGCATTCAATGTACGGACATTGTGTCAAATAGGGCAACAGGCATCATTAGCTAGGACTTTAGAATCTCGTTCCATCGATGTGTGCTGCGTCTCGGAAACGCGCATACAGGATCCGAGTAGCATCACTCATTTGACCTCACCATGTCAAGATAAAGAAGCAACTCGATTTACCCTTCGTGTATCCGGTAGCCCTGATGCTGCTTCTAGGGGCCTCGCCGGTGTAGGTATAGCATTGAGTCGTAGGGCAGAACAATCTCTCCTTGACTGGGTCCCTGTAGATAGTCGCTTGTGCGCCGTCCGACAGTAAGGATTTGAAAGGGTAGGGACACTCGTTGTTGCCTCTCCGTCATATCAGCCTACGCCCCCATTGACTGCAGTCCAGACGACATGAAAGATGAGTTTTACAGAAAGCTTTCGAACCTCCTCCAAAAAGTTAAGCGCTCTGATATAGTTATAATGGCTGGTGACTTCAATGCACAAGTAGGTAGACTAAGTGAAAATGAAAGACACCTAGGTGGATGTTACGGTCTCGCGGCTCAAGGAACAGACAATGGCGACCGTCTGTTGCAAGTATGCTCAGATAACCAACTATTTCTAGCAAACACTAACTTTAGGCACAAGGAAAAACATCTTTTGACCTGGCGACCTCCAAAGTCGTCTCAACGTTGGACCTAACTAGACCACATTGCTATACGTCATCGGTGGGAAGGCTCTGTTGATGACTGCCTCTCATTCTGAGGCACATGTTTAGATTCAGATCATGCCCTAGTGAAAGCGCGTATTTGTTTGAGGCTTACTAGACGTAGGAAAGACGCCGCGAGGAAGCCTCTTCGGGTTTCACTTAATGATAATAAAGCTATAAATATATTTCAGGAGCAACTAGAAAGAGAGTTAGGCAACCATGTAAGCGATTCCCATCCGGAGGCAGGTTGGAATGATATCAAAAAGGCTGTGGAAACAGCAGTGATATCTGCTAGTAAGGTAAACCATAGGGCTAGGATGAAGCCGTGGATTTCAGTCGCATCCACCGAACTGATGGATGCTCGAAAACGCATCCCACCTGACTGTGAGCATGATGAAGAACGTAGTCAGCGTAGAAGTAGGCTGATAAAAAGTCTGCGTAACGACCGCGAACAGTGGTGGGTGGCGAAAGCAAAGGCGATGGGTAAAAGTAGACAACTTTTCCGCCTTATTAAAGAAACCGGTATTAGGAACCCGAATGTGAGTGAGACTATCTCGGAAAAGGATGGTCTTATTATCCATTCTCAATCCAGGAGATTGGACCGATGGGCAGAACACTTTAGGAACCAGTTCAACTGGCAACACTTCGGTTGCCCACGATCTCCAGTCATCCTGAATGGCAAATCGATTTCAGTCCTCCTAGTCTACATGAAGTTGAGAAAGCTATAGGAAATCTGAAGCGAGGTAGAGCAGCAGGTCGTGATAGGCTTACTCCTGAGATGTTTAAGGATGGTGGTCCAGTTTTGACGGTTAGACTGACCGAGATCCTAGGTAGAATCTGGGAAATGGACGTAATCCCATATGACTGGTCTCAGTCGCTAATTGTCCCAATCTACAAGGGACAGAAGTCCTCTTGTGACAATCACAGGGGAATCAGTTTAACTAATATAGTTTCTAAATTGTTAGCCTCGATTATACTTAGGCGTCTAACTAGAACTCGTGAAGAGCAGATTCGAGAAAACGAGTCTGGTTTCAGACCTGGACATGGCTGTATAGACCACATCTTCACACTACGACAGGTCCTGGAACACAGACACACATCTAAGCGTCCTACAATAGTCGTGTTACTGGACCTTAAGGCGGCAGTGTCTGTCATCGAAAGGTGTACCAAAGAAGTACATTAACCTTATACAAGCTCTCTACTCGGACACCACAGGTCGAGTGAGGGCTTATGGCGAACTGTCACCGGAATTCTCTGCATCAAGTGGTGTCCGTCAGGGCTGTCCACTTTCTCCATTCTTGTTTAACTTTGTCGTGAACATCCTCTCAGAGTTAACATTAGGCTCGTCAGATTTTTCAGCTGACCTTCTACCAGGGAAATTGCTTTCTGACCTATAATATGCCGATGACAGTTCTGTTCGGTGAAGACGCTGACAAAATGCAGAATCTCCTGACTATCGTAAGCAACAATGCAAGCATGTTCGGGATGCGGTTCTCCCCATCGAAAAGCAAAATGTTTTTCAGGGTTGGATTGCATCGGCACCTGAACTAGTGATAGGGAGTGATTTAGTCGAGCGTGTAGACCGCCTCATTATCTGGGGAGTCTTATCAGTACTGATGACCTGGTGGCTGACGAATTCTCAGCTCGGGTACAGAAAGCTCGATTGGTTTCTGCCAACCTGCGTCATTTATGGCGCAGGCAAGATATCCGCTTGTTAAACGAAGGATAAGTCTACTGCGCAGCAGTTCGCTCCGTTCCCCTATATGGATGCGAAACATGGCCGTAGGTTATTAGTATTCGATCATAGATGCTTAAGAAGCATTGCTCGTATATCCTGGGACAACCGAGTAAGCAATGCTATCGTTAGTAAACGGGTGCTAGGTAAGGATGGCAGATCAATAGATGAAGTATTGAAACTTCATCAATTGAGGTGGTTGGGACATGTGTTACGAATGCCTAACCATCGACTGCCCCGATGAGCTATGTTTTGTGGTGTAGGGAGTAGGTTGGAAGAAAGCTAGGGGCGGCCAGATCAAAACATGGCACAAATCCATGAAATCACTGACAAGTGGACTTGAGTCATGTTGGTAGATGTAGGCTACCTGGTTGGGGTCACCTTGAACGACATGGCTAAAAATCGTTTGCAATGGCGAAAATGCATCCATTCGTTGTACTGTCTCAAATCCTAATCTTCTGGATTCGTCAGCACCTCTACCTTCGTCTTTCTAAGATTATCTCACTGAATTATACTTCTTGAATAATATCTTCAAACCCTAGTCTTCTTTATTATCATTAATACCTCTACTATCTTTATCACTATGGGATTTTATTTGAAATTTGCGTCTGTGTGCTTATGTGGTATGGCAGCATAAACTTACGTACATACGTACGAAGTTCTACGTTGCAACTGACTAACTACTAAACTCTAAGCAATTCAACATAGAGAAAAAGTGTGGAAGTTTATGAGTGTGTGAGAGGACTTTACTTTCAGGCTATTGATATTACTAAGTAATGTTCAAAAATGAACTGGTTTTAGACAAAAGAAAAGCACATCGGGATTGTTTTAAAGCTAAATACAAGAAGTCTCTGTAGTAATGATAGTTGGAGAGTTCCGTTCGTTCCCTAAAATTTTCGGAGACAATCGCGTTCTGAAGGATGAATATAGTGCGACTGTTGGTGCTTGTATATCAGCAGCCAGATAGCTAATACTTGGGTGCGCAAGTTTAAACTCTTATATCCATTTAAAACAAACCGCAAATTCAACTGTATTTGTAAGAAATGCAACAATTGGAATCAACTAATGATAGATTACCGGGCAAAAACTTTGAAACTACGTAATTTTAATCACAAGTTTTTACAAATGTAACTTTATAGTTTAGAACCAGTAATATCACGATAATGACGGATATCTTGGTGGAGTGTATAAGGCAAAGTAGTACTGACAAAATCGGATCATTGAATTATTATGTTTAGAAGTGGGGATTCTCCATTTTTACAAACGTTTTTGAACGGGAACTCTAGTTTGAGTTAGGTGGTATAGATATTTGATACTGAACTGATCGATGGATAAATGAACAGGTATTTAGAACTTGCTTGGTACAGAGAATTCATCTGGTGAAATCTATGCAATAGTCATTGATTAGTACAGATTTGAGCATTATCGTGTTGTGTCTGTCAAGTGATTGCCGGAGTGACTAAAACGCATTTATTGACATTGAAACGTGAGTTGTCGATCACAACGATTTGGTTTATTAATTCTAATCTGAAAACTTTCTTTTGACAATCCTAAGATGTATGAGAGTTCTAGAATGATGAAAGTGAGAGCAGTTGCTGCCGTGGTGCGAACTAGTAGTACACTGCATATTTATGGTCTGGTACCGGACTTATAATGCGGACCGGATAGTAAACAACTGGTTGTTGCAAATCAGTGGTCGTGTACAAGTTGGTTTAGTCCGTTTGATTTATATGTTCATGGGAGAGCTAGTAACTTTATCCAAGCAACTAGTGGGTTTAGCGGACTACATATTTAAGATTTAGTGAACAAAGTATTAGGTGGAATATACTGATATAAATTTGACTAGCGGCTTATTAACGATGAAGCTCGGGCAAAATTATCTTAAACCAGGATGAAAACAGTGGACCGGTATACAACTCTTTAGAGAGGTACCATGTTTGACCAACTAATCAGATGTCCTTAAGTATGGGAAACGTTTCAGTATTCAGCAGATGATGTCTGAGCAAATGATCAGTTGGACAATACTAATCCGAGTAATCTAAGATATATACATGCCTCAGTCGCAAAATATGATAAATACATAGTTTAACATACCTTTAATGGTGGCTCATTCATGTAAGGTGGTTCTCCATCCAACATTTCAATAATCATAATTCCAAGTGACCAGATATCGATTTTAGGCCCATAATTCGCAGTTTTCGAAACAACCTCTGGAGCCATCCAATAAGGAGTGCCGACCATGGTTTGACGTTTGCTTTGACGGTTACCAAGCTGAGCACAAAATCCAAAATCAGTGACCTTGACCTGACCCTGCTTCCCAAGTAGTACATTATCAGATTTTATGTCCCTATGAACATGAAAGTAAATTAGGTTATTTTAGGCAGTGTCCTAACTGGGAGGTAAAAAGGTCCTGGCCTGACTTTTTCAAGGTGACTTTTTACTTTTGTAAACTACAAGACATTTCCAAGCTTTACAACTTGTGATGATTTATGTGACTCTCAAATGAGCAGGAGTTGTAGGATACTTTGACATAAAACCAGCTATAAACTGATTAATTAACTGAACCTCTACTTCAAAGGGACTACTAGCCTAAATAACTAAACCTTGCGGTGCGAAGTGGGGCAAGTTTCTCGGAAGCGATTCATAGAAAGTAATCAGATCGCAGGTTCTTTTTCATACATATAGTTTCTTTTATCAGCTTGGAGAGGAAAAGAACAAATATTTTGACGGAATAACATTGATTCATTCCATTTCGTTTGGCTCTCGTCAGCTGCTAACAACGTGCAATATTTTAAATCACAATTATAAATCAGATTTAAATCACTTATATGGAAGAGTTTAGTCGGGAATCGCTATGATTATTTATCAGTCTAGGCAGTATACTTACTTACGCCTGTTACCCCCAATGGAGCATGGGCCGCCCACCAGTTTTCTCCAACCAACTCTGTTCTGGGGTTCCCTTTCTAGTTATTTCCAGTTTTTCATCCTTCTCATGTCTTTCTCTATTTCTCAGCGTAATGTGTTCCTCAGCCTTCCTCTTTGCTTCTGACTTTGAGGATTCCAAGTAAGGGCTTGTCTTATGACGCAGTTGGGTGCTTTTCACAGTGTTTGTCCTATCCACTTCCACTGCTTCTTCCTGAGTTCCTCCTCCACTGGAATCTGGTTTGTTTTCTCCCACAGTACGTTGTTGCTGATAGTGTCTGGTCAACAGACCCGAAGTATTTTGCGTAGACGACTGTTCATAAACACTTGTATTTCCTAGATGATGGCTTTCGTAGTTCTCCAAGTTTCCGCTCCATACAGTAGAACTGTCTTGACATTTGTATTGAAAATCCTGATTTTGGTTTTGGTTGAAAGTTGTTTGGAGTTCCAGATATTTTTCAAATGCAGCTTTTGCTTTGCCAATCCGCGCCCTCACATCTGCATCGGATCCACCTTGGTTGTCGATGATGCTGCCCAGATATGTAAAGGTGTTAACATCCTCCAAGGCACCTGCATCAAGAGTAATTTGGTTGGTGCATGTTGTGTTGCATCTGAGAATTTTGCTTTTTCCTCTATGTATGTTGAGACCTACTGCTGCAGAGGCTGCTGCTACACTGGTCGTCTTCTCTTACATTTGTTGTTGCGTGTGAGATAGAAGAGCCAGGTCATCTGCGAACTCCAGATCGTCCAGCTGCGTCCTAACTGTCCAGTTGATACCGTGCTTCCCTCCAGATGCTGACGTCTTCATAATCCAGTCGATGACCAGGAGAAAGGGAAAGGGTGAGAGTAAGCAACCTTGCCTGACACCGGTCTTCACCTCGAAAGAGTCTGTTAGCTGTCCTTCGTGTATGATTTTGCAGTTGAATCCATCATAAGAATTTCGTATGATGTTAACTATCTTCTCAGGCGAAGAAGCCTCCACAGTATTTTCCTATCCACACTATCGAATGCTTTCTCGTAGTCGATGAAGTTGATGTACAGTGGTTAGTTCCATTCAATTGATTGTTCCACAATGATCCGTAATGTAATAATTTGATGTAAAGTGAGTATAAATACAAACTATTCTGATAAAAATATGACTCCAATCCTCAGTAAATAACTAACAGATAAAATACGACAACTTAGTTAATCTGAAGGGCATCTACAACTAAAGCATGCAGTGAATCGTAGTTTTAAATCATTCACCCGTGGTGGTTTGAATTTTAACCATCAGACAACGAATTTAATATTAAAACAATACGATGATATAATACTGTTTGAAATGGCTTGGATAACGTGAGATATGAAAATAACGCTACTCCCTTCTATATGGTTCGAATTCTAGTTGCACATTGATAATCTATTAGAGATAGTAGTGGGGCAGTACCGAGAATCATACTCAGTGAAGTCGAGTTGCTGGTAGCGATTATAGAGTAAAACAATTCAGCAGCTAAGGATGGAAGAGATTCTTATTTAAATGAATTAATACAACGTGAGATATCCGTTCGCCAACCAAAGGACGAGTGTACTGTAAAGCAGTTTGCTCCGTCCTACTTTACGGCTGTGAAACATGGCTGTAAGAGTTGAGGCCCGACCGAAGCTGCTACCTTGACGTGGTGGTCGGGCTCGCCTATCGTGATGACCCGACCGAGCTATACTGGCTGGAACATATGTTCCTCAAGGTTCTACCATGCCAGACAGGTCGATTGGAGAACGATGAGACTAAAAGCAGCTACTCTAGGTCTGAGGGCGAGGTCGTACTGCTGACTGCAGAGAGGTGTGACAGCAGTAAGGTGTTTCCCTCGGACAACCAGCATCTGCAGCGATGCTGCCTTCTCACAAGGAAGGAAGGGTTAGAAAAGGTCGGCCCTAAAAATGTCACACCTCCCCTACCTAACGGATCTCCGTCTCCTTGGGTAAGGGTGCCCACTAAGGGCCTTTAAGAACGGAGCTAATCCTCTAAATACCTTTCATAAAAAGGCCGTGCGTGACCGGCCTCAAGCAGTTGTCCCTTGGACTCTGCGGTCACGCACCAACACTAATCCATCTTCCTTTTCAGGTCCCTCAAGAAACAACCTTCCACGGTGTGGGCAGCCGGGAAGTGACAACCGCCCTCATACCCGTAACAGCACGCGAGACCAAATTGGTCAAAATCAAATCCTTCCTACATTCCCTAATACCTCTCTTATCTCCACAACTAACTCTTCTCAAATTCATTTATTACAGTGCACAGCTAATGTAAACGATGCGAGTTTGCGAAACGTCGTTCCTGGTCTCCTTAAACCCCGTTCCAAACTACATGTTGGAGCATTCAATGTACGGACATTGTGTCAAATAGGGCAACAGGCATCATTAGCTAGGACTTTAGAATCTCGTTCCATCGATGTGTGCTGCGTCTCGGAAACGCGCATACAGGATCCGAGTAGCATCACTCATTTGACCTCACCATGTCAAGATAAAGAAGCAACTCGATTTACCCTTCGTGTATCCGGTAGCCCTGATGCTGCTTCTAGGGGCCTCGCCGGTGTAGGTATAGCATTGAGTCGTAGGGCAGAACAATCTCTCCTTGACTGGGTCCCTGTAGATAGTCGCTTGTGCGCCGTCCGACAGTAAGGATTTGAAAGGGTAGGGACACTCGTTGTTGCCTCTCCGTCATATCAGCCTACGCCCCCATTGACTGCAGTCCAGACGACATGAAAGATGAGTTTTACAGAAAGCTTTCGAACCTCCTCCAAAAAGTTAAGCGCTCTGATATAGTTATAATGGCTGGTGACTTCAATGCACAAGTAGGTAGACTAAGTGAAAATGAAAGACACCTAGGTGGATGTTACGGTCTCGCGGCTCAAAGAACAGACAATGGCGACCGTCTGTTGCAAGTATGCTCAGATAACCAACTATTTCTAGCAAACACTAACTTTAGGCATAAGGAAAAACATCTTTTGACCTGGCGACCCCCAAAGTCGTCTCAACGTTGGACACAACTAGATCATATCGCCATCAGCCACCTATGGAGGGGTTCGATAGAGGACTGTCGCTCGTTCTGGGGCACATGTTTAGATTCAGATCATGCCCTAGTGAAAGCGCGTATTTGTTTGAAGCTTGCTGGACGTAGGAAAGACACCGTAAGGAAGCCTCTTAGGGCTTTACTTGATGATAATCAAGCTAAGAAAATATTTCAGGAGCAACTAGAGAGTTAAGCAACGATGTAAGTGATTCCCATCCAGAAGCAGGTTGGTATGATATCAAAAAGGCTGTGGAAACAGCAATGGTATCTGCTAGCAAGGTAAACCATAGGGCTAGGATGAAGCCGTGGATTTCAGTCGCATCCACCGAACTGATGGATGCTCGAAAACGCATCCCACCTGACTCTGAACATGATGAAGAGCGTAGTCAGCTTAGGCGCAGACATAAAAAGCCTACGTAACGACCGTGAACAGTGGTGGGTGGCGAAAGCAAAAGCGATGGAAAAGTCAGCGGCGATAGGCAACACTAGACAACTTTTCCGCCTTATTAAAGAAGCCGGTATTAGGAACCCGAATGTAAGTGAGACTATCTCGGAAAAGGATGGTCTTATTATCCATTCTCAATCTAGGAGGCTGGACCGATGGGCAGAACACTTTGGGGATCAGTTCAACTGGCCTTCAGCCACTCTTCGGTTACCCACGATCTCCAGTCATCCTGAATGGCAAATCGATTTAAGTCCTCCCGGTTTACATGAAGTTGAGAAAGCTATAGGAAATCTAAGGAGAGGTAGAGCGGCAGGATACAGAAGGCTCGATTGGCTTTTGCCAACCTGCGTCACTTATGGCGTAGGCGTGATATTCGTTCGCTAACCAAAGGGCGGGTGTACTGCGCAGCAGTTCGTTCCGTTCTCTTATATGGCTGTGAAACATGGCCGTTAAGAGTAGATGTTCGTAGGTTACTAGTATTCGATCATAGATGTTTAAGAAGCATTGCTCGTATATCGTGGGACAGCCGAGTAAGCAATGCTGTCGTTAGGAAACGAGTACTAGGTAAGGATGGCAGATCAATAGATGAAGTAGTGAAACTTCACCAGTTGAGGTGGTTGGGACATGTGTTACGTATGCCTAACCACCGACTGCCTCGACGAGCTATGTTTTGTGGTGTAGGAGTAGGTTGGAAGAAAGTTAGGGGCGGCCAGACCGAAACATGGCACAAATCCATGAAGTCACTGACAAGTGGACTGAGTCATGTTGGTAGATGTAGACTACCTGGTTGGGGTCCGCGAGATGATAATAATCGATGGTTAGAGACCTTGAATGACATGGCTCAAAACCGTTTACAATGGCACCAGTGCATTTATTCTCTGTGTTCTCTCAAATCCTAATCTTCTGGATTAGCCAGCACCTCTACCTTTGTCTTTCT